GCCCCGGGTCGGCCCAGCCTCGGGCGGCGGGGCGGCTGCGGGCCCAGAGGGGTCGCTGGCCTGGCCTGGGGCGCGGCTGGAAGCCTCAACCCGGGGTTTCTAGTGTAAGGAGGAGCTTGGGCTGGAGAAGCTGGAAAGTCAGTGGGAGGCGACTGTGGCCGGAGGCGGTTTTGAAAACATCCGTCTGCAAAGCGAGAACAGCCCTGGGAAACTGCTGTGTAGTTCATTTAAAAAAGAGTTTGGGAGAAGAGTTTTCCTAGAGATTGTTTTGTAATCTCTCAAATGAGAAGGCTGGTATGTGTCTCACCAGCAGCGCGCTGAACCCTATCTTCCTTCAGACAGGGACTGAGCAGCGGAAACACCACCGCCCTCCGGCCAAACTCGTGAGGACTGATTGCGGGGGAACTGCTGCTCCAGATGTTGCACTAGAGGCGCTGCAAGTGTGAGCAGGTAACGTGGAGAAGAGTGACACTGTTAACAGAAAGCATCTAATTAACAATGACTTCATTTGATTGGAAGGATGAAAAAGCCTTTTTAAATCAATCCAGATTCACTGGCCTGAGCTCAGCCAGTTTATGAACATGGAGCCTGACTGGGGTCTGCTTTCTCTCAAAGATGTCATCCTAGGGGTAATGGCGTAGGTGAAGTCATTTGGTTACACTGTGGAAACTTTTATAGTGCCTTCCTTGGGAATTGAATTCAGTGCTTCTTCATTTTATTAGGAACAGACTGACTCCATCAACTGTGCTCTCCCTGTTTAGAGGCAGGACTGCTTGAAGCAATTAGGTTCACCAATTAGCATAGTTTTACTGACCCCAGCAGCAGCACCGCTTCTTAGATTATCCATTTCTTCAAAGTCAGGGAAAAGCTGGAGCACAACGTGCTTACCAGGTGTCCAGGTTGGGGAAATAAGCCCACAAGCAGGGTAGCACAGCAGCGCAAAAAGCTTTCTAATAGTCCCCAAGTGTTTGTTTCAGCAAATTCAGGTGGATTTTTCTCCCCTTTTCTGATTCTGGATCCCATAATGACCTCCTTACTTTGATATGGCCTTTAAAGCCTCTCCCCTTTGGTTGTATTTTGGCAGAATGGCTTTTGAGGAGGTGAATTTCCCCCTTTCCCTTCTGCCTGCCGGCGTGCTAATGACGCAGTGGAGGAAGTTTGGAAGGTGTGCCTGCAAGACGTTGCTGCCCTCTGTCCACTGCCGCCTCAGTCACTCGGTGGCCAACATCTTAGAAAACGCTTAGGGCCCAGAGCAGGCTGGGAAAGCAGGGGCTTTGCTCTTGCCACTGTCCTGGGTAGTGAAGGGATTGCGTTTACCTCGCTATTTAGTCTCTCTCTCCCCTAAAATATACATTCCTCTGTAAGATTGCACTAGATTAAATTGCTGACAGTTCATCAGTAGCAGCAACAGTGTAATATCCCTAACCTTATTAAATCAATAAATACTAGATCCACGCATTGAATTAAAAATGCAGCAGCATGGCCAGGCATTGCAATCCTGTGGCCATGGACCTCAGAATCGAAGATGCCACTCAGAAATTGACTAGTTATTTATTTAACCTTCTTATTGGGTTTTGGGTCTGTGATTAGATATTCAAGGTTAACATTCCAGGGACAAGTTTTGCTTGTTTATTTCTTTAAAATCCTTTCCTTTCACTAACTCCTCACACTTAACCATGAAAACGATGCGTACATTTAATAGTAGTAATATACTGTGACTTCCTAGTTTTTGTCATTAGTTTTCGTCTAGGGAATATAGTTCCATTCAGAATATATTACTCTCATAAGACATACTCAGGTGCATAAATTTCTCCATAAGCACCAATAAGTTTAGATGCATATGTTTTTGTATATGTATAAATAAATATACTCAGTGTGAACGTATGGCTGCACATTGATTATAAGTTTATTTTTAAAAAAGAAACCCCATTTAAATTTATCTTTCAGCACTGTCAACTACAATTAGCCGAAGTGCTATTTATCATTTTAAAACAAGCTATTTATTTATAATCAGATTTGCTTATTGAAGTTTGTTCCTCAAGAGATGAAATTAAAATGCTCAAGTCTCTAAACTTAATACAGTACTTAGGAAGTTATACACATCTTAAGTGCTTACATTTTACATGTAAAAAAAAGAGACAAAACCTCAAATGTGGATTACCAGGAATTGGTCAGTTAAGTTGTAGATTAGTAGGTAAATTTACAGCTAGTCCCTACTGAAAACTGGGACTGTGCTTAACACCTGGAAGTTTAACAGAAAAAGTGATATTACTCTAGCCGGATGTTTGTTCATACTGATTAATGATGCTAATTGTTTAAAAACATTCACCCCCTATTGATGCCAGCAAGCGTATAAGGTACTGAATTCTGAAGATATAGTCATTGGGCCTTGGGTTTGCCACACTGTGAAAGAAAAAAAATCTTTACTTGACGAAATAGGCAATCAACTGAAATCTATCCTTCTTAAATAAACGGATTCCTCGGTATTTTCCCAGCGTTGGTGTAAGTTGTTGTCTGTGATGTCCCCCAGGGCTCTTTCCCCTGCTCTCTGATTTGGTATATAAAAGCAGCTCTGAATGATGGATTACTGTGTCATTGCAGCCTGCGAAGGATTAATTTGTTTCATTGATTTCTCTTTAGGCAGATTGCCAGAATTTGCTGCTTCCCACCTTTCCTTAAGACTTCTAGAAGTAATAGACAGTAATAGCCTAAGACAAATCAGCTCCTTCTCGTAAAAGTACAATCATGAAACCAGGAGTCCTCCGAAAGCTATGTCAAACTTTTTACTGGCATACTGGGAGAGCAATTAATAGGCTACTTTATTTGCCTTAGAAATATTTTTAATTGAAAAATTTCCTTGACATGGTGACTTAAAACACATTATATTAATAGCTCTTAAGTAAACATTTATAATGTTTACCCTATAAAAATTTTCTCTACTTTGTAAGGAACCTGTTTGACTCAGGATTAAAAATGTGTTGTCTGTGTAAATTGACAAATACTTTTCTTTCTATGCCAGGTTTTAGGATCAAATAACGTATCAATGTAACTTTAAGTCAATTTATCTAAAATATTTATAGGATTACTTGACCCAAAGAATTTTCACAAACTTTGGACAAGGGCAGAGAGTATTAGAGCATAGAAATGGAGTTGTGTAATTGTTTAAAGAAAAAAATAACTTTTTTCTAATTAAAAACTTATTATCTGCTCATAATGGAGAATTTTCAAAAGTTAAAAATGACATTTTGCATATTTTCTCTAAGCCTTTTTCCTCCAAGCAATTATATGTTTTTATGTATTATATATTTATAAAAATATGTAGGTACCACTTTTTATTCTGCTTTTTTCCAGTTGGTGTAGTAAAATGAAAATTTTCCCATATAATGAAAATGATTATTAAAGTAATTTATATTGACTGGATAATGTTTTAACATATATACTTTAATTAATTATTATTCTACTATTGGAGAATTAGATTTTTAATTTTCCACTATAAATAAAGTTATGATGAATAACATTTTAAATAAATCTTTAATCATCCCTGTGGTTATTTCCTTACGATATATTATTAGAATAGAAATTACTTGGACTGAGGGTATAGACTGTTTTTTTAAGGTTCTTAATATTGATTGCCAAATTGTTTTCCAGGAAGATTTTTCTGCTTTATACCAGTACTGTTTAAAAAATTTCTCTGTGGAGGCAGCATCCTAGTCATGCTACGTGAGCAAATGAAACAGAACAGCAGTCTTTTCCTTGCGTTCTGAAAGCACTGGTAGTATTTTGCATATACTTAGTCTCTCAGAAGTATTTTCCCAGTGCAGATGTAAAATAGGCTGGTTATACAAATCTATTTGTTTCCCTTCTGTAGTGCTGAAAATTATATTGATTTAATGATCTCAAGTTATACTTTTTATGCAATTAGTTGTGTAGTAAAAACTAATATTGTCATGTGCTAATGTCTTTTTCCCTCTATTGTGCTATGGTAGGAGTCCATGCAATATCAGCAAGTTTATGCTTTTCCTGTGCTTTGCTGAAAGGAAAAAGGAACATCTGTTTCCATTATATATCTGCATCATAATGATAACAATTAAATAGCTATTATGGTAGTATACAGTAAATACAGTTTGCTGAATGACCTATACTTGCTTGTTGGAAAACTTCAGAGATTTCAGAGGCACTTAGTTTTACAGGTAGTTTCATGTAGAGGTTTGGAAAAACCTTTGCTTACTTCAGGTAAATCATTGCAGTTTCTTTTTGTCTCGGTAGAAAACAAACAAACAAAGAACCTGATGATTGAATACTAGGTTCTCAGATGTTACTCTTGAATATATTTCTCTTAGGCATGTTTAGAGTACATATTATTAATATTTCTCTCAATATTATTTTTTTTTAACATTTAAAAAAATTATTGATTTAAGAGAGAGGAAGGGGGGAGGGAGAGAAATCTTGACTTGTTCCACTTATTTATGCACTGATTAGTTGATCCTTGTATGTGTCCTGACCAGGGATTGAACCCACAACCTTCGCGTATTGGGAGGATGCTCTAACCAACTGAACAATCTGGCCAGAGCCTCTCTTAATATTCTTAAATGAGTTAATCATGGTACTAATGATACAGTTTATTTTGTGTTTTGTGCCATTTGTGTACTGTTTGTATTTTACTAAGCTGAAGATTGGGTATATATATATATATGTGTGTGTATATATATATA